GGAAACATGCAAGAGGAGGAGAGTTTAGTGTCGGAGGTCGTGGATGAGTCTCCTCCGTCATCCATTTTTTATTTAGAGGAGGAAAGCGGGGACGAAGATGTTGTGGAAGAGGAACTCAATGGGAAAGGGAATTATTCTTATTTCAACCGTTGCGTATATTAGCTGCGACATATGAATGAAGATGCTATGACTGAAAACATTTGATTGACAGATGACTGTTGATATATGATTGGCTGAATTTAGGTGTTCAGGCTGACGTGGAACTAATTGGCCTGCAGAAGATAACAATAAAAACACAGATTTTAAGACAGGATTTAAAAAAATATATATAAATTTTCTAAGTTTTGGACAATATTGTCTGATTAAGAGTATATTTATATAAATGTTTAAGCCGCAATTATTTGACATTTAAATAGGACTTCTCTACGACTTTAGAGAAGTCCTATTTAAATGTCCGGAGTGTAGTCTCTGTTCACATTGCAATAAAAAAAAAAAAAGATTAAAAAGAAACCATTTTAAAAGTTCGGTATTCATTCTTTTCCTATTCTTTGCGTCAACTCTTACTGTTGCTAGGCGACAGAGCATACAGCGATAAAAGCAGCGAAAGGCTGGACCTGTTTGAATTCACAGCCAGAACTCTTCCGGTTTCCTTATTTTCACAGACTTGGAGGATGCAGCCCATAAATAGGAATTCAGCCAATGAGTTTCCAGGAACTTTCCAAAGTTCCTCTAATTTGAAGAATTTTGTGTGAAATGATTTACAAAATAAAAGTCCAGAGTCCGTCTCCATAACCAGTAGCTTCATTTAATGCGACCCATTTTTTTTTTAGCGGTTTGAGCCTCCAGAGACTTTGAATCCCAGCCGATGACATCCTCTAAGGTCTCCATGACAGATTCTGTCACCTGTTTTTTTTTTTTTTTTTTTTTTTTTTAACAGAGGACCATGAAGATAGACAGACATGGAACAACATTTACATGTATGAGGAACATTTTCCTCTTTAGTTCGACACGGCTGAAGATTTAAAGTCTTCTAGGCTCACGTCTGGAGAAACAAGTAGAGGAAAAATTAAACAGAATCGACTTTAAACATCTAAAGGTTTAAATTTATAACCGACAGTTAAAAAACACACATTACTGTGCAGCAGGTTAGTCGGATCAGTGAAGTTATTCCTGTTCATCTGGGTTTTAATCTGGATCTACATCGAGGCACGAACCGACACTATAAAAAAAAAAAATACTACTATTTAAAACTACAAACTTAAACATATTCCCATTGTTGCTATTTTAAGGCTTAATTTGTTTATATTAATTTATGGTTTAAAGATAGCTGAACTCTCAGACGTTCAGAAAACGATCACTGTACTGGATAAAGATACGTCTTTAAAAATATTTTCGCAGTCATTCCTTGGAGGTTTATTCTGGAGGAAACCCTAAAAAATATTGATCCTATTTGAAAGTTGAAGAAAAAAATCAGTGTAAATTTAAATTTATTCAGTTCCAAAATAGGTTTTCTATGTTTCTGTGCAGACGACGTCCTACTTTACATGAAAAACAAAGATGAAAATCATTTTTATCCTGAATCACTGAACTAATCTGATTTATGTTTCCTTCAAGCATCAGTGCCAGAAGGGAAAGTGAATTTATGCAGGGACTTGTAGATGTTAGTGGCCGTCCTTAAAAATTCACTAGGGATGCACGATATTGGGATTTTGGCCGATATCCGATATTTTAAAACTCATGTAGCCGATAACCGATATCGATACCAATGTTAAAGCTGGACAAAAATAAGTAGTCATTGAAAATAGCAGTTTTGTTATCCATTTCTGACACTTTGAAAAACGCAAGTTAAATGCAAGCGGGTTAGTTTAAAAATCTGCTTCGCTGGATC